ACAATAATTTACAAAACCTAATATCCCACTCCCATCTAACAATACTCATATCACTGCTGAGGCTGGCCCTGGGAAAATCCCAGGCTTGACTCTTGAATTCAGCGGCAGATGGGAAGCTGGATGCAGGAACACATGGATTCAGGAACACACGAATCAGGATCAGAGGCAGATAAGCTGATGGAGTCCTCTCAGGATGCTGTCCATGGGTGAAGAGTTTGACCTTCATGAGCCCTCATCTTTATACTGAGTATGATGCGTGTAGGATGGAATATTTGTTCTGGTCAGTTTTGGTCACCTGTCTGGTCTGCTCCTCCCCAAATGAGGGTTGTAGGTAGAATCTCTTCATTCTTTTCTGGTTCTGAAGCATGAGATGTTTTTCAGAACCAAGCAGTGGCCTGGATTCTGCATACCATTGTCCAGCAGTAACTACAGACACTGAGCGTTATTAGCCCTAGAAGCAGACACTGACTGAGAAACATGCTGTTAATTTTAGCAAGTGCAGCTACTTACAGGAGACTGAGCTGAAAAGTAAAATTAATAAAAGAAAATTGCATTTATCCTGGCTCAAATCAGGACAGTAGCAAAATTAATGGAACCAGTATTGAATATTATCTTGAAAAAGTATACATAAGTACAAATGCATTCTGTGTTGTTTGTATTTTTTTGCTCTGACTAATTTAGACAAATACTAAGGCAGCATAATTACATATAAGCCCTACACAGATTATACCTTAAGTTATGAGCACTCTTATGTGCCTTATTCTTCTTATTATTTGCATGACATTTTCTTGTATCTCATCTCATTCATGATGCCCTGTTGTGAAATAACTACACTTGAACCTTTGGCAATTGTTTTGGTGATATATATCACAGTCCTCCACCATAAATCAGTTCTAAGAAAAAAATTATATCACCAAAACAACTTAGTTGAGAATGTCTCTTCCTCTATCGAAGGAGCTAGAAGATGGATTGGTTTGTTTTTTGCAGTTACCCAGAAGGAATGCCATGCACCCAACCTGTTTGTCCCTGATTCAATTATGTGTCTGAAGTGCTGAAAAATCTACAATTGTCAAGACAGTATCTTAACAGGTCCTGCCCCATGCAAGCCATAAAGAAGTTCAAATCATTGGGAAACAAAAAAATACCAGAGAAAGGAAAGTTACAATATATAAATTGTCAGAAGAATCTCTGGAGATGCAAAATCTTAATACTGTGCTCTGACTGACGTGATTGACATGATTTTACTTCTAACAGTCAGGTTAAGTATGAATCTTCTCGTGTTGTGACATCACTTACTATCTTTTTAAATATCACTTGCATTCCTACAAAGTACTTTGAAAGAAAGGATGTGAACCTATATTTTCAAGAGAACATTACGCAGATCACAAGGCCCTGAGATCCAGAGAGTGGTGGGATTTCAGACATTTTTTGATTAAGTCTAGATGTTTGCCTGCTTAGCTTGCTGGCTGGTTTGAATTCTATCTTGAGATCTCTCCCTGTAGAGTGACAATGCAAATCATTCTTAGGAGACATCTTATTATTCACATAACTTTCAGGCATACAGCTTCCAGATTAGTCTTAAATTGATCTTCTTTGACCTTTTTATGGGAATAACTTTATGCAAAATGGAAGTTAAGCATCATTCTCACCAACCGCCTCTGGCAGGGGGTTGGAACTAGGTGGTCTTTAGGGTCCCTTCCTACCCAAATCATTCTATGATTCTATGATCCTGAAAGGAATCATATTGCTTTTTGCCATTATATTTCAAATATATTTTGTCATTGTATTTGACATGTAGTTAAAGCAACAAATCCCAGCCCTTTCTAAAAACATCTGCTTTATTACAAGGCCACATAGCCTGTGCTGAACAGAGGTGCAATTACACTGCAGTCAGAGGTGCTGAGCTGTGGGCCCATTGAAGCATCACTGAAGGACCTCAGTAGTGAATCCTTCTCTGTTCTCTACTGAGAAGGCTCTTGTGAGCAGGGGGAGCCCTATCCCATTGCTCACAAATACTTGGTTTCTGTTACAATACTTGTTAAGAGTTTGAGAAGTTGGCCAACATGTCCTTCACAACTTGTCAGATGTGCTTAATGTTGGTCACTCAATAACCAATGGAGAGAATTTTAGTTACCATCAAATGCAGTGCAGGTTGCAAAGATTGTTCAAGGCAATTGCCTGAGTCTCTATTGAATATAATTTAAGCCATTTGGCACCCTTTTTAATCCTCTGAGTCATTCCAGATCTCTAGCAAACCTACAATTAAAGAACTAATGCATTTAAATTTATTTTTAATTTACAGCAAATTTTCCTGTAAAATTTTTGTTGCTATACAGTAAAGACTTTCTTGGGTACCGTATAGAGTTATTAGGAAGGATGCTATTTTTTTTTTAGCAAGATATTTGTGACAGTGTGATTTTCCTGGTGAAATATCAACTGGATAATAATAAGTTTTTCACTTAACTGTATTACCCCACTTGCAAGCCTTTGTCTGCACCATGACCTTGTAGGAATCATGGTTAACTGCTGGTTTTCCTTAATCCAAGCAGTTCTTTGAAGAGTAAAAGCGAGTGTCTAATTTGTACCTGACTATTTATTAATCTACATTGTTTAATCACACCACTCTACTCCAGATTTCATTGTATTTGTTGTGTGTCCTTACAGGAGCTTCTGTTTTTTAAAACCAGATTGTATTTCTGACATTGTAATTGACCCAGAAATGTTTCTGGGATCTTCCTTGCTGCAGAGTCAGAGTTTCTAGATAACTTACTGGTTCTTTCCTATTCTTTATTAAACTTGATGAGGATTTGGCATACTAGATTCTTATCTTCTAAGGGGTGTACTGGCTCCATTCCCTCCAAGGAGTCTTAATGCCAAATTAGGACAATGCAATGATAAACCCAAAGCCGGAGGGGTTGTACTGGCAAGACATGAAAAAAAAAACACAATTAAACATTTAAGCTTCAAGAAAGAAGACCTGAAGTATTGATTCAGGCAACCATGCCAACTTTTGAGTTCTTACTCTTCAAGCAGAATTGTGTAGGTATACATGGCACATACCTGGGGTACTGACTTTGGGAAGCTCAGAGAAGGCAAACCCGGCTGTAAGCCTGGCATCCAAACACTCAGTAGAGCACCTACAGTTTTTGAGGGTTATACAAAATACAGTGTTTCAAATGAGATTTATTTTTCAAACATTTTCTAGGTTCAGAAGGCTGAACATTTTAAAATAGACAGTAGACAGTCATCCAGTGATCCTAGCTACAAAGCCAGAAGTTATAGTTTAGAATATGTTTTTTTAAATACAGTTTTGAGACACTCTAAATAATGATGAACAAATTATATTTTCTTAAAAACAATTTCAACATTTATTTGTACTCTGCTAAGTTGCATTTTTTCTTAATTTTCCTGATTTTTTTTAGGTTCTTTGTGGAACTCACACTCTTGGTATGATAGATAACCTCAGAACACTGCTGGGTATAAAAACACATTGCAAAATGGAAGCTCAGAGATTCAACTAATTAATGGAACAAATTCCCTCTGATAAAAGTTTTTCTGTGTTCTTTGAGGTATGTTTGTATAACAAATACATATGTATTTTATTAACAGTTGTTAGAGCACCTATTGTTCCATTTCCCTCTCAATTATTCTGTGGAGGCTGAGTATGTTTGTGGTACTGAGCAGCCTAGGAGACACAATCAGGGAGCAGAATCATGGCCTCATTGTGCTAAACAACAAACAGACTGAATCAAGCTGGCAATCAGGAAATGATTATTTGCATTTGAAAAAGAGTGAAAGGAATTTGCTACGCTGAGGTCTTAATTCTTCTCCTTCTAATCCTGCAGGTAGCTTAATTGAAGTCAATGGGATCACTTGCTTGAGTAAAACAAGCAGGATTTAGTTCTTCCTCAGTGCTGTGTGTTAATTAAAACGGGGGGCAGACAGCACTAAAGCAGTCACAACAGCCCTGCCTTCCAGTCCTTCGTGTCTGCCTGAGAGGAAGAGGGACATTCAGAACTGCTGTTTTTCTTTTCAAAGGACAGATTGTGCACGCTGTTCTTTTTACATTTCAGTCTTTCATCAGGGAACAATAAAAGATACTGCACTTTCCTCTGTAAAGCTTTTTTGCGCCGCAAAATTCACGAGTGCATTTATAGTAGAGTATAATCAGACCAGTGTAACAACCCATTGCTAATACTGTTATGCCAGAATAGTTAAAACCATAAATTTCTCAATTTTAGACAGCACCTTTGTTCTGAAAGTGTGATCATATGGCAGGTGGCTGTACGAAAGTCCTCACTGCCCAGAATTATTTCCTATGTAGTTTAAGATTCTCCTGCATACTGCTTGGTGCTCTCATTAAAGAAATACTCAATTTTATACCTTCACAAAAAGGTCAGACTATGTCCATGAGAAACTTGTCAGGGTGGGCTTATCACAGGCACCCACAATGCCATTTGTCACTATAATTCAGGGCTTAAGCCCCACCAACAGGGAATTTGAAGTTGCATATGCCCATCATATAATCTGGGCAATTGTATGGTCAAGACTGACCTCTCTCTGCTGTGATGCTTGTTAGTCTTTTGCTCCCTTATGTCCAAAGCCATCAGGGCTCTTCTGGCTAACAAACAGAACTAAACCTTTTTGGCAGTAGAGACAACTTTTGCAGAGAAGGTTTCTAGGAAGTTGGTGGGACCCCATAAGGGTAAAAAGGGTGGAGGAAGATCTTCACAAAACTACAGATAAGATTAGTAGATACCAAGAAAAAGAGGGTTTGAGATACTGTGAAAAGGCAAGACTTCCTCATTCCTCTCCAAGGCCACTGCTCCCTTTTAGACCTTTCTCATTTCTGTAGTGATCTGAGCAACCCTTTTGCTTACTGCTTTTCCCCTCCAGAGTTTCTCAAATTGTAGAGAAGAGCAAAAGATGCAAGGCTACGCCACTGAAGAAGGAATGGAGATAAAGCACAGAAAAGCCAGAGCTACACCATAAAGCTGTAGATGGTCCTCTACACAATTCCTCCTCAGGAAGAAGATGAGACTGTATGGGTCAAGTTACACTTTGTCAGGCTAAAACAGCCTCATCATCGGCTCAGAAACTGGCAGGGAATGTGTCCCCTCTTTAAACAGCTACAGGATAATATGCAGGAGAGCCAGTCCCAGAACCTACTTCAAAGCAGAGGACAAGAAATCCAAATGAAACGGTAAGCAGACAAAAAAAGGAAGAGGAAATGAAAGAAAGCACAACATACTATCTGACCCTTATTTATCTTCCCTACCCAGTAAATTTCTTAACATCATTTTTTGCTCTTAATCTGCAAGGCCAAGAAAATATCTCCAAGGCAAGTTTCACACCTGCCATCCCCATGACTCTCACCTCTACCAGCTGCTTGTAATTGTCAGGTTGAACACAATTGGGAAAGGAAATTGGAATCATCATTAACCCTTTCTGGGCTGTTTACCTATCAGACATGTATATCTCATCATATGAGCCTACATATAAGTTTTTTGTTAATTTTCAATGTTACAGTAGCCAGATTAAAAATAATAAACTGGCCCACCCAATGCTGATTTCCAACATGATGTCCCAGCCCATTTTTTGTCTTGCCTTTTTTTGCAGTAAACAACAGAGCAAATGTTCTTATAACCTAAATGGGAATATAAACCGAGTGCAGTATCATAGCAACAGACAGAGGTTTATATCAATATTTTAATGATTATGAACATCCTTATTGAGTGCTTAGTATATTGATATTTCATACAGAAAACCTAGAAAAATAATGTTATAAAAGTAAGCTGTCAAAACTTAAGATCTTATATTCCTTATTGTTGGTATTTATTTAGCACTGCAAGAACTAATTCTGATTCCCATGCATTTTTTTTTAATGGCAAAAAACAAATCAAATCAAAAGACAAAGCAAAACCCCTCAGAAGTTTTTGGAAATATCTTTGTGTTCTCAAATCAATGTGCGAAGTGACCTTTTTCCAAAATTAGTTTTCATGTTTCCTTTTGAATCTGGGTGAATTGTTAAAAAGGGTGAAACATGAAAAGCTTGTTTTATTGAAGTTAATGGCAAAAATAGAATATTTTGGAGAATTTAATATGTATTGGTCCAGAAAAGGGATTCTGTGGTAGGCTGGACTGGATTTTCTTTTTTTAGATTATTCCTTGCACCAGGTTGCTTAAGTCTATTGTGTCCAAGTTCTCAAATATTGTAAGTTGTAACCAAGCAACAAGACTAACATTTTGAAAAGCACCTAACTAGCTTCCTACACTGGGGCTAGATTCACAGAAAAATGTGGTGCTAGAATACATGCCTTGCAAGGATGTTGATGCCTAGTGAAATCCCTCTGTAGCATCATGGGCTGAGAGCACCAGGCACACCTGGAGAGGTATTTATGTCTGTATGTGTGTGTGTGTACGTGTGCATGTGTGTGTAGAATTAGGGCTTATAAAAGTGGAGCATAAAATTCCAGGAAGCCAAATTAAGAGCTAATACAGCTTGATCAAAAAGAAATATGGGGGAAAAGGCGTCTTAAAAAAGAGTAATTTAACCTTCGGGTACATTGAAGTACTTGCATGAAACCAGGATCCAGAGTAATTAACATAATTGGAGAGCAGGCTGCATTTATGTGCTGTCTGCCACTCCCTGTCCCATTTTGTCTTGCTCAATGTAGAAAATCTTCAG